TTTTCCAGCTCCAAGACTAGAGAAAAACTCAAAAGTTAGGAAGTGGCTGTCATGTGTAAGGAGCACATGGGATTTGCTATAATGTATGATTTTTTATAAATAAATATATATAAGTGATGCACCGATACCATTTTTTCAAGTACAAGTACTGATACCTGTCCAAGTCCTCATAGATATGAGTGTAGCGCCTATCGCCTTCTGTGATGTGACTACTAGGCATTTAGTGATAGCCGGGGCTGTAGTCGGCCTGGCTGGATTTGTAGTGGCAATTACATGGTTAATTCCCAGGTGTCTAACATTTCCTGTACCCCCGCCGGGCAGAGTGAGACTCTGTCATATTGTGGGACAGCCAATAGGAGACACTGTAATATGTGTACAGTACAGCAGCCAATCACTGGGCTTCTTACAGCGAGTGGTGCATGCTGGGATAGTGTACATATATTGGTTGGAGCTGCCATGTGCTCTCTCTCTTGTCTGGACCAGCCATGGATAGGGCTGGGTCCTGTTCAGCCTGCCCCCCGGGCTAGGCCGAGGCCTGGGGGTGGACAGTGGCTGGTTTGGGGGAAAAGGTTTGCCTAGGGCCTCCAACATGGAGGATGCCTGAGAGATGGAAAGAGAAAGAGGACCAGGACCAGTGCCGGCTCTTGAAGCACCCTGGAACTATGTGGGTTCCTAGCTGGTCCTAGCTGCTACCGCTACAGAGACTGATGTGACTGTGGGTGGGGGAGGGACATTAGAGTGTAAGCTCCTCTGTACAGAGACCGATGTGACTGTGGGGGGGGGCATTAGAGTGTAAGCTCCTCTGTACAGAGACCGATGTGACTGTGGGGGGGGGCATTAGAGTGTAAGCTCCTCTGTACAGAGACCGATGTGACTGTGGGGGGGGGCATTAGAGTGTAAGCTCCTCTGTACAGAGACCGATGTGACTGTGGGGGGGGGCATTAGAGTGTAAGCTCCTCTGTACAGAGACCGATGTGACTGTGGGGGGGGGCATTAGAGTGTAAGCTCCTCTGTACAGAGACCGATGTGACTGTGGGGGGGGGCATTAGAGTGTAAGCTCCTCTGTACAGAGACCGATGTGACTGTGGGGGGGGGCATTAGAGTGTAAGCTCCTCTGTACAGAGACCGATGTGACTGTGGGGGGGGGCATTAGAGTGTAAGCTCCTCTGTACAGAGACCGATGTGACTGTGGGGGGGGGCATTAGAGTGTAAGCTCCTCTGTACAGAGACCGATGTGACTGTGGGGGGGGGCATTAGAGTGTAAGCTCCTCTGTACAGAGACCGATGTGACTGTGGGGGGGGGCATTAGAGTGTAAGCTCCTCTGTACAGAGACCGATGTGACTGTGGGGGGGGGCATTAGAGTGTAAGCTCCTCTGTACAGAGACCGATGTGACTGTGGGGGGGGGCATTAGAGTGTAAGCTCCTCTGTACAGAGACCGATGTGACTGTGGGGGGGGGCATTAGAGTGTAAGCTCCTCTGTACAGAGACCGATGTGACTGTGGGGGGGGGCATTAGAGTGTAAGCTCCTCTGTACAGAGACCGATGTGACTGTGGGGGGGGGCATTAGAGTGTAAGCTCCTCTGTACAGAGACCGATGTGACTGTGGGGGGGGGCATTAGAGTGTAAGCTCCTCTGTACAGAGACCGATGTGACTGTGGGGGGGGGCATTAGAGTGTAAGCTCCTCTGTACAGAGACCGATGTGACTGTGGGGGGGGGCATTAGAGTGTAAGCTCCTCTGTACAGAGACCGATGTGACTGTGGGGGGGGGCATTAGAGTGTAAGCTCCTCTGTACAGAGACCGATGTGACTGTGGGGGGGGGCATTAGAGTGTAAGCTCCTCTGTACAGAGACCGATGTGACTGTGGGGGGGGGCATTAGAGTGTAAGCTCCTCTGTACAGAGACCGATGTGACTGTGGGGGGGGGCATTAGAGTGTAAGCTCCTCTGTACAGAGACCGATGTGACTGTGGGGGGGGGCATTAGAGTGTAAGCTCCTCTGTACAGAGACCGATGTGACTGTGGGGGGGGGCATTAGAGTGTAAGCTCCTCTGTACAGAGACCGATGTGACTGTGGGGGGGGGCATTAGAGTGTAAGCTCCTCTGTACAGAGACCGATGTGACTGTGGGGGGGGGCATTAGAGTGTAAGCTCCTCTGTACAGAGACCGATGTGACTGTGGGGGGGGGCATTAGAGTGTAAGCTCCTCTGTACAGAGACCGATGTGACTGTGGGGGGGGGCATTAGAGTGTAAGCTCCTCTGTACAGAGACCGATGTGACTGTGGGGGGGGGCATTAGAGTGTAAGCTCCTCTGTACAGAGACCGATGTGACTGTGGGGGGGGGCATTAGAGTGTAAGCTCCTCTGTACAGAGACCGATGTGACTGTGGGGGGGGGCATTAGAGTGTAAGCTCCTCTGTACAGAGACCGATGTGACTGTGGGGGGGGGCATTAGAGTGTAAGCTCCTCTGTACAGAGACCGATGTGACTGTGGGGGGGGGCATTAGAGTGTAAGCTCCTCTGTACAGAGACCGATGTGACTGTGGGGGGGGGCATTAGAGTGTAAGCTCCTCTGTACAGAGACCGATGTGACTGTGGGGGGGGGCATTAGAGTGTAAGCTCCTCTGTACAGAGACCGATGTGACTGTGGGGGGGGGCATTAGAGTGTAAGCTCCTCTGTACAGAGACCGATGTGACTGTGGGGGGGGGCATTAGAGTGTAAGCTCCTCTGTACAGAGACCGATGTGACTGTGGGGGGGGGCATTAGAGTGTAAGCTCCTCTGTACAGAGACCGATGTGACTGTGGGGGGGGGCATTAGAGTGTAAGCTCCTCTGTACAGAGACCGATGTGACTGTGGGGGGGGGCATTAGAGTGTAAGCTCCTCTGTACAGAGACCGATGTGACTGTGGGGGGGGGCATTAGAGTGTAAGCTCCTCTGTACAGAGACCGATGTGACTGTGGGGGGGGGCATTAGAGTGTAAGCTCCTCTGTACAGAGACCGATGTGACTGTGGGGGGGGGCATTAGAGTGTAAGCTCCTCTGTACAGAGACCGATGTGACTGTGGGGGGGGGCATTAGAGTGTAAGCTCCTCTGTACAGAGACCGATGTGACTGTGGGGGGGGGCATTAGAGTGTAAGCTCCTCTGTACAGAGACCGATGTGACTGTGGGGGGGGGCATTAGAGTGTAAGCTCCTCTGTACAGAGACTGATGTGACTGTGGGGGGCATTAGAGTGTAAGCTCCTCTTATGCAGAGACTGCCGGGAGGGTTGGGGGGCCAGTTTGTTCCTTAGGTCCACCACTGTTTTTTTCTGTTGGTAAGTGCAGTACAGCACTTGGTATGGTTCCGGCCACCGTCCCCTGTAACTTGGTACTTTCCTGTACATGCAGGTAGGGGGGTTTTCAGGTGGCGGAGCTTGGTCTGTAGCGGGCTTTACCAAAGAGTGATCAGGGAGTGGAGCAGAGTCACTTGAGTGGTAAGGTAAGTGTTTTAGCAGCCTGGCGATGGGGGTGGGGAGGGAGAGGCCTCACACAGCCCGCAGCCCACCTGAAAGCCCACCTAGGAGCCTGTACAGGCTTAGATGAGTTACTGCGAGTCGTGCCCGTGGCTGTGAGAATCTTGCAAAGCCTCAAGGGACTTGTAGTTCCACAACAGCTGGAGGGCCGGAGTTTGCCACCCCTGAGTTAGTGGATAGATGAGGCGCACTTAGTGTTAGTGGAGGGTCCTGCTCAAGAGTCTGTCTTATCTTAGTGGCAGCTTTATAATTTTGGGGCAAAATATTTTTTTCTCGTTCTGATACTTTTTTTCAGGCCTAAAGCTGTGTAAGGGGCCCCAACATTTTTGATGGCTGCCCTGCTTATAACTAACCAATCAGATTTCAGGTTTTAGAACAAAGTGAAAAAACACAAAAAGATCGCAGCTCGTATATCTCCTCCGAGAATTTTATTTCAGATTGAAAAAGATTTGAAGACAATTTAATAAATCACAAGAAAGGATTATTATGTGACTCCGATCATCGGGAATCTTGGGTACAATTTTCATGCGTTTTCGGTATTCTACGAGAACATTGATCCCTTGATTGTTTCATCTTCACTTATCATTGTCCGCTCTCATTGTTGATGTGGACGACAAATCATTCTTTATTTTACATGTAAATCAGAAGTAGCAGAATCTGAAAACAAGGCGTATGTGATGAGCCGACAGACTTGGACTAAGGTTTGAGCTGGACAAGAACTTCTCCCTTCATCTCACAGAGCAGAGACTTCCAATTGATGACATTTCCATAGAGTTCGCCATAGGTGACCCTCTGGACGTCCCTTGATGTCAGGACATAATCCCACATGTGGACGTCACTTATTTCTCCAACCAATGACTGAGAAGCCTCAAACCCTCCACCAAAAGAATCTTGTTCCTGTCCCAGAACAATGCTGGTTTCAGCCGCGATAGAAGATCCTTTCCTGGAGACTCTTCTGGGGTAGAGCTTCCCATTGACCCAAAGTTGGACCACCCCGGTGCTGGAGTCCCAGGTCACACAGGTGTGTCTCCAGTCCAGAGACTCCGAGTCTGTCTTAAACACAATCTCCTCCTGGTTTATAAATACAGAACAAGTGTTTGGAGGCTGTAAGTAGATTAGAAAGGCATTGTCCTTCCCGGGAGTGGCAAGAGAGAACGGAGTATAGTGGCGAGAAAGATCCGTATAAGAACGTAGACAGACGCTGACCTTCTGCAATGGATTTGTGATTGTGGGTCTCAGAATGACATGGGCTGTGTTTGTTTCTTTGGGGAAGACGAAGACTTTACTCTCCAAGTCTGGGGAAGAAAAACACACAAATCTCATTACTGCCACATATCAAAGAGGAACAATACGTTCTGAATGTACTACAGATTGTAGAATCTAAACTACAAAACATTTCTCCTCATTTATATATACAGTTGCTGCGGCACAAAACTTTTCTAAATGCCTCCTTGTGGGGACAACTCAAACGCATTTTATAGAACCTCCTTTAGTTGGCTCCTTCAAGACATTTGTTTAAAGAAGAACTACAGAAAACCTTTTTAATAAAACTTGCAGTGGCGCTACCCCCTCCCCCGTACTGCAAGGGTTAAGTGCTCATTGTTGTCAGGGTTAAAAAATAACAAAGATATACTCACCCAAACTCAAAGCCGGCCAGCTGACACAGCACTCCCCCTGTCTCCTCCTCTGCTGCAGCATTACAGTCTTCCTCAGCATCCTCACGTCTATACACGCTGTATAGACATGATGATTTATGGGACCTTAAGACAGCTGCAGAGGAGGAGGAGGAGGAGAGAGGCTCTAGGGACCGGTCTAAGAACAAGCCGGCTCAGAGCATCGAGTAAGTATAACTTTTTTATTTTTTAACCTAGACCAAAACGAGCAGTTACTCCTGCAGGATGGGGGGGACCGACACTGATAAGGTTAATAAAAGTTTTTTCTGGAGTTCTCCTTTAAAATATTATTGTAAAATCTGTTATCATTACAATCTGATTAGTAAGAACCCAGGATAGCAGCA